AACAACCAGCTCCTGATTGACGAAACACCTTGCAAACTGGCAGCAGATGGGCATGACCGTGCATGCCAGGCCAGGATGGATGAATAGAATAAACCGCCTTCGTAAAAAAAGACAATCACTCGAACGCCGGCCTCGTCGTGTCCCATGCCGGCCTTCGGAGGCATCGGAGCAGAGAAAGCAGCGTTTTGATTGGCCACCCGGTCGGACCGGACTGGGGCACGCATGCGCTGGGCTGGAGCTCATTTCTAATCGTCTCGCCTGCATGACGCAGAAGCAAGCGGGACTGGCGTTGCGCCCGAGGGCCACAGGGCTCGGGCATACAGCACCCTGCAGCATGCCCACCTCACACACACATACACACACACACCATTTTGGACCTCCCACGAACGTTGACTTGGTCCCCCCGAGAGTCACATGAGCCGAGCCGGCAGAGTGAACCGTGTTATTGCGCAGCTCTCGTCTAAACGACTTGCCGCTCTTTAGCCAGTTCTCCTTCTTCCACAACCCACAGACCCGCGTGATCGCATCCAACACACACACACACATACACACACGTACATAGACACCGAGACAGATCTCGCTTGGTCTCCCTCCGGGTGGAAATGGAGATGGCCGCTATTTGCCAACTCAGTGCGATAACACAGTCGAGGCGAGCAGGCTTGCTCATCCAAACGGCGGTTGCAGCTTAGACCCAGTCTACACTACAGCAGCGCTGCAGCAAGGGGCGATGGGTGAGACAGAGAAAGGGGCTAAGAGGCCTGTCGACTCGGCTACAGAATGGGATTCTCGCGTTTGTTAGAAAGGCCCCCATGGTCCAAAGGAAGCCAAATCACGACGAACAGGCAAATAAATTTTCATTTATCACGCCACACTACTTAAATGATATGAGTAGAATGAGGGTCTGTAAAATAGACGAATTCGGAGAAAAAACTGACATTCGTTCTTATTTGGTAAATAAGATTAATGTTCAGTCTAGTTAGGATGATGATACAAATAGCCAAAGATAAAAAAACGAAGAACTACTAATTACGAATATGTATTTCACTATGCTTGTAGTAAGTATTTTTCGCATTCAATTAGAGTTTCGAGACTATCGGTAAATCAGTAATATGAAATGTATTCACCATATTTCGTGTAAGGTGATGAAGGACTGATAGTAGAATTTTCCCACAATGATATGAGTTGAGCATTCTTGGCAATGTGGCCGAGTGGTTAACGTGTCAAGCGAGGTTGAAACTGCAGTCCACTGGTGACTGGATGAGAACAACTTTTGGGAAAGCAAGGCTCTGTGAAATGCAATGGGAACGTCAGCTCAACTAATATCATTGTGGGAAAATTCTACTACCAGTCCTTCATCATCTTAAACGAAATTGGGTGAATACATCTTATACTACTGATTTACTGGTAGTCTCGAAACTCTACTTAATCACGAAAAATTGTAGTAAATAGTTGTCTGTAAGTGGTTATTGTGTGTGGGTGTGTGTGTCTGCTTCAAATGGCTTAGCAGTCGACTAATGGTGGTGAAATGAGAAGGCTCAAATTTATCTACGCCACGAACGCCAAAAGTTCGTTCTCGTTGAAGCTCATATCAAGCCGGTCGTCATGCTCCATGTAGAACTCAATGCTACGGGGTTGTGTTGTCAGGGGGCTTATGTGGGTGCCTCACGAAATTCGCTAGAGCTTCTGTGGAGAAGATGAGGGAAGGTCTAAACTGCAGTACAAAGCATGTTAAATGGGTCATCTTTGGCCAAATACAAGTAGTTAAAACTAGTAGCAACTAATTTGGGCCCAGGAAAAAACAATGGGGGTAAAATTGCAGTAGAATAGGATAAAAAAGTTTATGTTGATGAAGGAATAGTTTCTATTTACTTGGGTTGAATTATCATAACTATATTGTCGCCATGACGATTCGAGTACGAACCTGTGGCCCAAGGAAACCGACAGGAGTTTGCTAATTTTATTAAGATTCCATCTTTCCACGAGATAAAATTGATGTATATAACAAATTATGCTGATTGGACCTAATTTTGAACAGTGTCGTGGTAACTATGCTAAGCACATTGAGGCCTTTTTTAAATTCGCCCTGATAACATAAAAGGCGAAGTTCGGACGATATGCAGAAAAAAGAGCTGAAGTCGGTTGACCTCATTTTCGCAAGTTGGTCTTGTTGTCAGGGCGACTTAGTTAAACGCACATTGTCACACCATCTTGGTCTTCATACTTTCGAAAAATGAGTTTAGTTTCAGAAAATTTCTGAATGATTCTGTGTGACCCAACCTTTCATTTCGAAGTAGTTTGTCCTCAAATCCGATAAATCCGTACTGCGCTTTCGTCCGTCCCTCCGTGACAGGCATCATCAGGACAAGAAAGGATAATTTACAAAAAAAACCCGCACCAATTAACTAAAACGAAAGAAAAGATGGACGATTGCAGATCTGCTGATTAGTAGCTGATTTATTCTCGAGCTTAATGAGGCATTTTTGAAGAGTTTGTGATACAACCCAACAGTCGTAACGACAAAACAATCAATCCTCCTTCGGCTTCGGATGAAGCCAATTCATGAAGCCAATCTAATCAGCATTTTGTGCAAAGTGAACATTTGAATAACTCGAGAAACAGACTAGTTTCCGATTCCCCCCATTCAACCCACCAACAAGTCTGAGAAAGTAAAGTTCGTCATACGGGATTCTATGGTGAAAATGCAGAATCACAACTGCATCTCCGAGTTATTGTATCCTATACGCAAACGAAAGAAGCGAATTACGCCAAAGTTTGCTATCAAAAAATGGATGGACTGGAGATTCTGCCTCTCCAAGACCTCGTCGAAATCCATAACATAACTCGAGCCCACTAGCCCTTAGGGATGGTTAAACTCGGTTACATGTTGATAGGACCCTGTCAGGATGATGATAATGCGGCAGGATCTGAAAAAGAGGTACACTTTAAAGATCGATTATGTGCTCCGAGACGCATTCCAATCAGAGATTTCGGATCCAGCCATGACGATAGTAGTCTTGGCTGCTCTTCGGCTCAGACCATCTCGCATTTGAAGATTGTAGTTGTCAAGAGCTGGCAATGGCATAGAAATCCGTCTAAAAAAATTTGTTCATGTTGGCACTTATGCTGTCCCCGCAAGTAAACAGAGAGGACAAACATACAACGGCTCGACTCCGCAAGAGGAGGTCAGACAAAGCGGAAATGGCAACATAGACTCCACAGAGAGGTGACATGGGGGCCAGGCAGTCCAGCAACATGAGACGACACACTAGCACAAGATTGAAGAGAGGGAGAGGGAGGGGCAGGTTGAGGAGTTGGCAAACATACCGAGCGAACGTCGAAAATAGACAAGCTTCAGTTTCAGAAGAGCTGTTTGCATTAGATAAGCCAAAAAAAGTGACCAAAGACAAGTCCTGCTCTGGTACCACGGCTCGTAAATCATCGACCAATAGTTGGCGTGTTGGAGTGAAGAAGACACTTTGACGCAGCAAGTTGCGCGACTAGATTGCTTAATAGATTTATGAACTGATAATTGAGTATTTTCCTATTCCACTCTTGGCATTAGACGACACTACTTATTTTCGATATGAGTAGTTTCGAGACTATCAGCAATTAATTAACTAGACATTGGTTTAGAAGTTGTTTGACCTTATTTTCGCAACTTGGTCCTATTGGTAGGAAGACTTAGAGGAACGCACCTTGTCCTGAGTCCATTTTATGCATAATTATTTCCAAAGTC